CATATTTTATAAATTGCTTTAGTTGCGAATTGGACTGACACAATTTTGTCATCTATCGTAAAAAATTTACTACTTTGCTACCGAGAAAAATAGCAGATGGTTTGCAGGAGGTCACCTGCAGGGAGAGTAGACACCTAGGGAGCAGGTGTTTTGCATTTTTCTAGGAGCCTGCCTTATTATGCATGCATGACAATGTTGCATGGGGAATGTAATAAACTTGCTTCTGCTCTATAATGAAAAAAATCTTTATTTTCCAAAACTGAAAAATGCCGTTACTATGATTCCCAAGAACAATTCTCAGTCTGAAAAGAATACTTATAAGGATAAATTTCCACAAACGGAAGCTTCTATGAAATTGAAACACCATTAGCAATCATGATTAAAGATACCATTAACTGAATGTGTCTTAGGCGCCAAATGATTTGCTAAGCCTTTTCTTCTTTTATTTCATTTAACCCTTAAAACCCCTTTTAATAGATGAAAAACCTGAGAATTTGAATGTGTAAGAAAGTAATTCATGTTCTATAAAATAATGATCATAGGACTTGGGGTCAAAGACTGGTTTGGACTCTAAAATCCAAATCACCTGGGTAGAGGACTCATTTATAAATTATTTTAAAATAAATATTATCTATCCACTGTCGTTATTACCATTATGTTCTCTCTATTAAAGTGCCATGAAGATAAAGGTCATCATATCTCAACTTGCCCCTTTATAAATGACATGGCATATAAGGATACATGATAGATACCCACCCACATAGGTTTAATGGATCTCTGAAGATTAGAGTTGCTTAAACACTAAATTGTGATGGCCTTCCTTCCCAGATGTCCTCAGGATATTGGGAATAGGAATGGGCAGAGTTTTCAGCCTGCTTGGAAGAATGTTGGTGTGATATAGAGTGGGCACCCCTACTGTAAGAATTAAAGTTCAGGGACAGCTTCATCCTCACCCTGAGGACTTGGCGAGAGGCAGTAGCTGGAACCAGTCACAGGGAAGCCCATCTTTGGGAGGGTTGCTATAACCTGAAAGAAAGCAGGAGATGGGTGAGCCAGGAATGGAAGACAGAGACCAGGCAGAGATCACACAAGAGAGTTTACAGGTCAGAGCTGACAAATACAGACACATCCCTCCAGAGTGGAGACAGGCAATGGAGACTTGGGGTTGGAGACTTTTATGGGGGTGGCTCAGGGATTAGAGCTGGGTGGGTCCTGATGTGGGCAATTAAGGGTGGGGTTGGTACACCTCGGGAAGGAATGTGGGTGATGAAGGGATGGGTTGGTATGAGGGAGTGGTGAGACTTTCTCACAAAGGCCCTTGGGCTGGAAAGAGAAACCTTTCCTTAAGACGGTGGCTGTCACTTAAGATGGCCACCCAGATGCTAAGCAAGGACCTTACAATACCCCAACCTGAAATGGACTTGTGTGGATCATGATGGTATAGAGGCTGAGTGAGGCTGCGGTTCAGGACATCAGTGTCTTGCTCATCAGCTGGTGACTGGTTACAGGAACAATTTCATTTGAGTACTATAGAAAATAATAGCAGCTGCTGCTGCTCCTCCTCTTCCTCCTCCTCCTCCTGCTTCTCCTCCTTCTCCTCCTCCTCCCCCTCATTCTTCTTACTATTAAATGAATGACTTATAAATTCTTGGAATAGTATCCATCACACAGTATATCACACAGCATGTGTTGTTGAGTGGTTGTAACCTCCATATTAAATCCAGGAAATAATTTATTATATGCACCAAATGGATTTTAAAGAATTGAACATCTGTTTGGAAGCTGAAGCATATTACTGATAAAATGTTAAGGTATTCCAGGTCCTGGAATTAAATGCTAATGCAATCCACAGCTGGGGAATCATAAGGGAATTCTGGAAAATTCATAAAAAGCAAAATAACCAGAGTGCAGTGGTGCACACTTGTAATCCCAGCAACTCCGGAGGCTGAGGCAGGAGGATCACAAGTTCAAAGCCAGCCTCAGCAATTTATTGAGGCTCTAAGCAAATTAATGAGACCCTGTCTCTCTATAAAATACAAAAAAAGGGCTGTGGATGTGGCTCAGTGGTTAAACGCCCCTGGGTTCAATCTCTGGTACCAAAAAAAAAAAAAAGCAAAATAAACATGAGAAGTAAGAAACTAGGATCCAATGGTGAAATCAGAGTCTAATATTCTATTCTACATGTCCACATAATACCAATGCATTTAATTTAACTGTTGGCTGAAGAGTGTGGCTCTGAACCTTGTATATTTTCTCATTCTCTGCTCTACCCTATTTATGTCCATATGTTACTTTTACCCTTTTCAGGATAACCAACTACTTTTATTTCAAATGATAATCATTATACTTATGACTTGGAAATATGCAAAAAAAAATGTAGTATTCAGGACTTACATGCAGTTTTTACATTAGGAATTCAAAGAATAAACACCTTGTTTATGAGATTGTATTTTCATTTGCTTTTTCTGCCCTTTCTCCATCCTCCCATTTCCTCTGTTACCTTTATTTCGTTTTGTTCATTATTTTCAGTACTAGGAATTGAATCCAGGGGTGCTCCACCACTGAGCTACACCCCCAGCCCCCCACCATTTTTTTTTT